CAGCAGTGGCCACAGCCTCCCCGACGCCCTCTGTGAGCGCCACGAGCTCCCCGGCACGAAGCGCCTCGAGGACCTCCCGCGGCAGCTCCCCGAAGGCGACCCTCGCGGCAGCCCGGGCGAGCAAGCGCGAAGTCTCGCCGTCGCCTGCGCTCGCCCCCAGTCAGGAGGGAAAGAAACACACAGACACAAGTAATCGTCGATTCCCGGGAAAATATGGGAAAATATGGGAATTGGGCGGGAAGACAAAAACCCAGCAAATATAGGAACATATGGGGAATCATTTTATTTGTGTGTATTTATTTGTGTGTGTCCTTGGGCCCCTTGAGCCTCGAGGACCTCCCGCGGCAGCTCCCCGAAGGCGACCCTCGCGGCTGCCCGGGCGAGCAGGCGCGAAGTCTCGCCGTCGCCTGCGCTCGCCCCCAGGTGCTCGAGGCGCGTCCCCTTGGCATCGCTCGGACGTGTGCATTTTTCCTTCGGCGAGGACCATCGAGGAGCATCCTTGACCATTTGGCGTAAAAACACGCACCAAACCGAAAAAAAACACAGGGAATGGACGCCCGAGCGATGGCGAGGTCCCAAGCAGGCCAGGCGCCGCCAGCCTCGGAGGCCGCCGCAGCGGTTTGCGCACCTCCTCCTCCGCCTCCTCCCTGAGCTCGGGGTTGGGCGGCGCGGGAGGCGCGGCCGGGGGTGGCCCCCCCGTGGGCGCCGCCCGAGGGCTCCCTTTGGAAGCTCGCCCGCCGTGTGTTCAGCGTCTCGTCCGTGCCGGACCTGCTGAGAATGCCTTCTCCTTGTCACTCCCCCCCTCCCTCGCCGCCGAGTGGATGCGCGGTCGCACGCGCGGATGCGTTCCGCGCGGGGCCTCCGCGAGAAGCGCCCCGCGTCCGCGGGGCCGCGGCCCGGGGGCCAGATGCGCGAGGCCGCGGATACGGATCCGTTGTTGCGCCCACGAGGCTGCTTGGCCTCCCGAGCGGGGCCACCGTGCATGGCTTCGGGGGAGCGCACCGCGCCGCCGATGCGTGGCACATGCGGGGGCAATCCGGAGCCCGGTCCCGCCCGCCCCGACGCCGCGGTCGCATATCGGCGGTGCGGTGCAGCCCTCGGGGAACAACCCACGACATGACCGCAAAACTCGGAGGTCCGCGCGGATTCCTCGGATCGGTGCTGGGGCCCCCGGGCGGCGCCTCCGGCGCCGCCCCTCGGCGCGCTCCGTGCGCCAGGGAGGGGGGGTCCAGCGCCGATCCGAGAAATCAGCGCGGACCTCCGAGTCGTATACATCGGCGACGCATCGCCGACGCATCGCCGATGTATCGCCGATGCGGCGCGACCCTCCAACCCCATCTACTCCGACCCCATCTAGGAGGCCTCTAGGGGTGCCCTGGGTTTCTTGGGATTCGATGGTTTTGCGATGGAGAGCGCGACGCGCCCACGCCAAAAATCGGTGGGCGCCCCGGGGGCTCAGGGTTGGGCTTCCTTGTGGAAGGTTTCTTGTGGTCGGGTCCCTCCTGCGTGCAGTCGGGGCCCTGAAGAAGGAACCCTTTTCGTTGGGGAGGGGCTCGGTGTTGCTTGAGTGTTTCGCAGCTTGCCTCGGGCTTTCCTGAGGTTTTCCATGGGAAATCGAGGTTGAACTTATGGAGAAAAGGGGCCTCGTTCCTTATTTAGGGTTCCTTAGGTCAACGCCCCGACTGCGTACTCCTTCTGGCGCGGGAGCTCCGCGGAAGGCGCGTCGCGGGAGCTCTCGGAGGAGGGCCCCGTCGCGGGAGCGGCAGGGGCGGCGCTCGTCTCCCGCCCCTCGTGGGCTGCCCGGAGGCTTCTCGTCGCCACGGCCGGATCCGCCTCGGAGAGCTCAGGAGGGGGAACACACACCACACCCACACCCACACCCACACCCACACCCACACCCACACCCACACCCATACACCCACACCCATACACCCATACACCCACACCCATACACCCATACACCCACACCCATACACCCACACCCACACCCATACACCCACACCCTCACCCACAAGCACAAACACAAGCACAAGCACAAACACAAGCACAAGCACAGACACGCACACACACGCACACGCCCCACACGCACACACGCACACGCACACACGCACACACGCACACACGCACACACGCACACACGCACACGCGCACATACGCACATGCACACGCACACACGCACACGCAGACGCACATGCACACGCACACGCACACGCAGACCCACACGCAGACCCACACGCAGACCCACACGCAGACCCCAACGCAGTACCCCCCCCCACCCACACACACACAGGCACGCACGCACGCACGCACGCACGCACGCACGTACGCACGCACGCACGCACGCCCGCACGCGCACACACCCACACCCACACCCACACCCACAAACACGCACGCACGCACGCACGCACGCACACACAGAGACACACACACCACACACAACACACAACACACAACACACAACACACAACACACAGCACACAACACACAGCACACAACACACAAGACACAAGACACAGCACACAACACACAACACACAACACCCAACACGCAACACGCAACACGCAATACGCAACACACAGCACACAACACAAAACACAACACACAACACACAACACACAACACACAGCACACATCACCACACACAACACACAATACACAACACACAACACGTAAGGCACAACCTACAACACACACGCACGCAACACGCAACACACAACACACAACACACAACACACAGCACACATCACACAACACACAACACACAACACACAACACATAACACACAACACAGACCACACAACACACAACACACAACACACAACACACAGCACACAGCACACAACACAGCACACAGCACACAACACACAGCACACAACACACAACACACACAACACACACAAGACACAACACACACCACGCAGGAGCCAGGATACAGGACACAACACACAACACACAACAGAGAACACATAACACACAACACACAGACCACAACACACAACACACAACGCACACAGCACGCAACACACAGCACACAGCACACAACACACGACACACAGCACACAACACACACCACACAACACACATCACACAACACACAACACACTACACACAGGACACAACACACAACACACACCACACACAACACACAACAACCAACACACAACACACAACACACAACAAACAACACGCAACACACACAACACACAACACACAACACACAACACACAGCACACAGCACACAACACGCAATGCACAACACACAACGCGCAACGCACAACGCACAATGCATCACGCACAACGCGCAACGCACAACGCACAACACAAGGCACAACACACAACACACAACACGCAACACACAACACAAGACACAACCCGTAACACACAACACCACACACCACACACCACACACCACACAACACACACAACACACAGCACACAACACACAACACACAACACACAACACACAACACACAACACACAACACACGACACACAACACACAACGCACACAAACGCACACACACACACACACACTGCACACAACACACACTACACACAATACACACACTACACACCATACACACTGAAAATATGGGAAAGTATGGGAAGTAGGGGGGCAGACGAAAAACACAGAACATGTGGGAAAAACATGGGGACTTGGTGCCAATCCGTTTGTGTGCTCGTGGGCCCCGCCGCTGGCTCCCCGCCCCGCCTGCCCCGCCGACGCCTGGCCCTGCTCTGAGCGAGCCTGGCTTCCTCTCCCTCCTCCTCCTCCTCCTCCTCCTCCTCCTCCTCCTCCTCCTCCTCCTCCTCCTCCTCCTCCTCCTCCCGCGCCGTGCACTGCGGCTTACTTCGCGTTTTGCGTGTCCCACTAGTGCCACAGCGCTGGAGCAGCCCCTCTGCCCAGCCGCCGACGCAAAAAGTCCGTGGGCCCCTTGGAGCCCCTGGGGGAAGGGGTCTCCGAGGGGTCTCCGGGAGGGGCCCGGGGACCGACTTTGAGCGGGCTCGGGCAGGGCGGGGGAAGGCCGCCGTGGCTCCACCCCCGAGAGGGGCTCGGCCCATCTTCGACCGCTGCGGGAACCAAGCAGAGTCTGGTCGAGGAAGGAGAAACGCCATAAACATAAACTCTTGGCGCTCCGCGCGGGTTTTTCGGATCCGCGCCGGGCCCCCCCGGCGGCGCCTCCGGCGCCACCCCTGGCGCGCTCCGGGCGCCAGGGAGGGGGGGTCGGGCGCGGGTCCGAGAAATCCGCGCGGAGCGCCGAAAGCTTATATTTTTGTTGTTTTTTCTTCTACATCGGCACCCCCGTCTCCCACCACCCCTCCCCTCCGCAAGTCCTTCCAGCGACGGCTGGGCCGACAGCGGTTCGAGATGGCTGCGTGACTGGGATTTTCTGGTTTGCTGTGCCGATGTTGCAGCCCCCTGTCATCGTCGGCCTCCACTTCCCTTGCCCCCACAGCCTGGGCTGAGGCTGAACTCAACCATACCCGCTCCCGCCTCGAAGAGGCGCGCCCATCACCCACTTCTCATGGGGAGCCGCGCCCTGCTCTACCCCACTTCAGGTGTCTCCCCTGACGATAGGCAGCATCTACCATTCGTTTGGCCAGGTAGGAGCTGATTGGTTTCAAACATCCGCTGTCTCTTAAGCAAGCAGAGAAGCATCCATGCACGTACATGTTCAAGCACAAGCGCAACCAAGCAAACAATGAGGGGAGAAGACGAGCAGGACAGGAAGCACGCCAGCAAGCATCGGTGCGAGCAGACAAGCAGGAACGCATGAAATGAAGCTCCCGATCAAGCGCCTAAGCATGCATGCTGGTAAGTAATCAGGAACGCAAACGAGCCAGGATGCCGCTGATGTTGACGATCAGCGTTCGGAACCCTACGCCGGCGCACGCACACCCGCACACGAGCTTCCACACGCACTTTTTTTCCTTCGACGCGGCGATGGAAAGCAGTCAGTCGCCGGTTCGAGCTTTGCCAGCAGCCCCCCGCTGGCGGCGATGGCGCGCACCCTGCCGGCCAAGCAGCACCCCTTCGGGCACCGGGCCGGCTCCGGGGCGCCGCCGCTGGGCTCGCCTCGCGTCCCCCGCGAGCCCAAGTCGCTGCCGGCGAAGAAGACCGTGAGCTTCCACCTGGAGGTTTCGGGTCGGACGAGTGAGGGGGGTGTTACCCTGACCTTCCAGGAGGGCTAAAAAATAGCACGCGACTTAAAAACCTGTCCCAGAGCTATTCTACGTCTTGGTTTTAGGCTGTTTCGTTTAGTTTTTTAGGTTTTTAGGCCTCCCGTGCTAAAAAATAGCTCTCTGGAAGGTCAGGGTAATGGTGGAGGGGGGGGGGTGGAAACTGCTGCATGCAGCCGGTTTCGGCCTCGCCGCCGGGCGCTTTCTCCGATAACATGGGCAGTTTCGGTGTCGTCAGGCGCCAGGGAAACCAGCTACGTGAGCCGATCCGCTCACATCCCCTATACATTCGACCCGCATGGTAAGGCTGGGCAACCTTCCCAAGGGTACCCCTTGCATCCTTGCCTCCTCGGTCCATCCTTGGCCACTCTCGTGGGCCGCGCCCCGCTCAAGAAGCTTCGGAACGGCCTTTCAAGGCCCTTGCATCCTTATCGTGCATCCTTATGATACGGGCCGACTGTGTATGAGGCGTTCCAAAAGTGGCCATGCCTTCGAGGATCGAAGGAGCTGTCATCTCTTCCGCCGCGGAAAGCCACGGAATGCGGCGGAAGTGAAACGAGGCCGCCTCCGCGGGCGGAAGCCGGCGGAAGCTCGGCGGAAGGCGGCGGAAGTAAAAGATGTACCCCCAAATAGTAGATGCAAACATTTTTGGGTTCAGGGTTTCCGAAATCGCCCATATTGACCCTGCCTTTCTTCCGCCTCGAAGGTCGATGACGATTCCGAGGGCTCTTCCACGTCCACGTGCGGCGGCCGGGCGCAGTCTGGCACGCCGGACTCGCTGGACTTCGTCGCGGAGCGGCCCGCCCTGCCGGTCCGGCAGGCGCCGACGCCCAGCCGCGCGGGCCCCTCGACGGCGTCGTGGCTGTCCTCCCCGGGGTCTTCGCAGGACCACTCCGTGGACGTCGTGCACCCGGGGAGCCCGCTGCTCGCGGGCGCGGCCGCGGGGCGCCGCGGCGAAGGCGTGGGGGAGCCACCGCATGAGGCCCTGGGCGACGCCGGCGGCGGCGCGGCGCGTGGGCGGTGCTCGGGGGCGCTGCGGCCTCCAGACCAGCCTGGGGAGCCCCTGGATCGTGCTCTGTGGCAGCAGGCCTGCTGCGACGCCGGCGGCGCAGCGCCTGGGTGGCGCTCCGGGGCGCAGGGGCCTCTGGCCGAGGAGCACCCCGTGCGGCAGGCCCCAGGCGAGGCCGGCTCCCACGGCTGCGCGGTGGCCGAGCTGGCGGAGGGGCAGCACTCGCAGCAGGAGGCCTCCGGCGAGGGCGGAGGCGGCAACGCGGTGCTGCCCGGGTCGTGCTCCAGGGCGCCTCCGCGGGACGCGCCTGGCGTCTCCTGTGAGTCCAAGGCGCGGCTGGCGAGGAAGACCGTGAGCTTCAACCTGGAGGTCGACGATCACTCCGAGGGCCCTCGGCGGAGCACACGAGGGGGTGCCGCGAGGGGGCGGCCTCCCAAGGAGGCGGGGGGGGGGCTTTTCACAAGGCAGGTGGCTGCTTCGAAACGTTCCCGGCTTCTTAAGGAGTCTTCGTACAAGCTTCTATATATGCCCTTCGATGAAGGACGCTGCCTTCGACGAAGCCCCCCCCCGCATCCTTGAAAGGCCGCCCCCTTCAGAGGAGGAAGAGGTAATTATGCCCATACCTCTGCCCTTCGCCTGCTTCCCGTTCAATTTGGGCCTCCTGGGCGGCCCTCGCCGCCACCGCTGGACTCGACTCGAACTTCTGGTCAGCACGCACCCCGGGAGAGGTCCGGGGAGTAGCGGTATCGGTACCTTTTGTCTTCCCCACCCCTCGCGCCACCCCCACGCACGCGCCGCCAAGGCCCCCCCACGTGCGGCGGCCGGGTGCAGTCTGGCACGCCGGACTCGCTGGACTTCGTCGCGGAGCGGCCCGCCCTGCCGGTCCGGCAGGCGCCGACGCCCAGCCGCGCGGGCCCCTCGACGGCGTCGTGGCTGTCCTCCCCGGGGTCTTCGCAGGACCACTCCGTGGACGTCGTGCACCCGGGGAGCCCGCTGCTCGCGGGCGCGGCCGCGGGGCGCCGCGGCGAAGGCGTGGGGGAGCCACCGCAGGAGGCCCTGGGCGACGCCGGCGGCGGCGCGGCGCGTGGGCGGTGCTCTGGGGCGCTGCGGCCTCCAGACCAGCCCGGGGAGCCCCTGGATCGTGCTCTGTGGCAGCAGGCCTGCTGCGACGCCGGCGGCGTAGCGCCTGGGTGGCGCTCCGGGGCGCAGGGGCCTCTGGCCGAGGAGCACCCCGTGCGGCAGGCCCCAGGCGAGGCCGGCTCCCACGGCTGCGCGGTGGCCGAGCTGGCGGAGGGGGCGCCGCGGTCGCTGGCGGAGGGGCAGCACTCGCAGCAGGAGGCCTCCGGCGAGGGCAGCGCTGGCGTTAGCGCGGTGCTGCCCGGGTCGTGCTCCGAGGCGCCGCAGCGTCCCTCAGCGGAGAGGCACCGTTCCCAGCAGGAGGCCCTGCGGGCCCTGCAGCTGCTGGAGGAGCGGGCCCGATGGGCCGCTGCGGCCCTCAAGTCACGGCCCCACCGCTGCACCGCGGCGACCAAGTGGGCCTTCGCCCACGGCGTCGCACGGGGCGCCCCGCGCATCGAGGCCTGGGGCGGCGGCGGCAGGCACGCCAGCGGCGCCTACGACTATCTGCCGGGGGAGCGCGCGCAGGGCCCCCCCACCTACCAGAGCGCGTCCGACCCCAGCCAGCGGCTTCGCCTTTCCCCCGAGGGGCACTGGCTCGTGGGCTCCGCGGACGCCTCCGAGCAGCAGCACCGCCAGTGGGGTTACCTGCGCAGCGCGCACCCCGTGGAGCCCGGTGTGCTCCCTCACGCGGTCAGCGAGTGGGATGTGGTGCCCGGCGCGGGCGGCGGCCAACCCGCCGCGTCACGCGTCCGTTTCTGGCTCGCGGAGACCGTCCGGCTCGAGTGGCAGAAGGCACGGGTGGCCTCCTGCGACTGCCCCGTGGTCAGCGTCCGGGGCGTCGGCCAGCTGGGCGACGGGCTGTACGACTTTGTGCCACGGGAGGGGTCAGCAGGGGAGCCGCCAGCCTACCAGCACCAGGTCCAGAGGAACCTCTGGCTCTACCTGGCCTCGGACCAGCGCTGGTGGGTGGGCACCGAGGAGGGCCTCGCCAGCATCTACTTCGTCGTCGTCGTCGCCGTCGCCGTCGGAGGAGTGAGGAGTGAGGAGTGAGGAGGAGGAGGAGGAGGAGGAGGAGGAGGAGGAGGAGGAGGAGGAGGAGGAGGAGGAGGAGGAGGAGGAGGAGGAGGGAGGAGGAGGAGGAGGGGGAGTGAGAAGGAGGACGAGGAGGAGGACGAGGAGGAGGAGGAGGCAGAGGAGGAGGAGGGGGAAGACCAGAGTAAACCCAAGATGCATCAACCGATTCTGCAACTCACCATCCCGTCCCAAGTCCCCTCTTCATAAGTCTATAAACGTCTTCTTTTCCACTGCGGGCGCCCCACCTTGACTGACGAACGGCTGGTTGGTCCGCCAGTTCGAAGAGGGCGTCTGTTGTAAATGATCTTCCCTCCACTTCGAGGACGCCCAGGGTAGCCCCATTTTGAGAAGCACATGCCCTCCATCCGACTCCATCCGTCTAAGCGTTGTAGGATGTCAAAGTCGTGGATGTATGCTCCGCGGAAGTCCTACGCGAGAGCCTTCTAAGGATGCCCAGCGATAGCCTCAGTTTGAAAAGAACATGCCCTCCATCCTTCTAAGTTCTAAGTGCTACAGGATGTTAAAGTCGTGGACGCATGCTTCGCCGAAGTCTCCCGCCAGAGTCCTGTTTTGAAACATGAGCCGCCCTCCATCCGTGTTAGCTGTTGCATTACGGAACGTCTGGTCGTAGAGGTCGAGGAAGGGCCACGTGAGTGGGGAGTGGGCGTTGTAATTATTTGAATGTGCGGGAGGCTACAGGGAGACCCGAAAGCTATGGGGGCGTTCGCTAAGGAATACGCCCAGGTGGCTGCTGACCCTGGAGGAGTCTTTATCTGATGAGTGCGGCGGTGATGTCAACGGCCAGTCTACGATTGGAGTTCCACCGGATTCCAGACGCTAGGTTCCTGATCCAGGGTTCCTTGTTCAATGCCCCCACCGTCTGGGAAAGGACTCGCCATCCCCCCCGTACAGCTAAGGACAAGCATGAAGCCGAGTATGCACGGCGCCAGGGCGCGAGCCCGTTTTTGAAGACGATCCCGCCCTCTATTGGCTCTTTGGTTGTGTACATCAAAGGTGTGCGGCGCCAGCACAGCGAGAACCCCACCGTGAAAACCGTGTGTGGTCCACGCGTCGACGCGATCTGAAGCCATCTGCTCCCTGAGGCCCCCTGCGGCGACGAGGACGATGAAACTGAGGATGTGAACGCTGCTGCTGCTGGTGTCGACGGCGAGCCTTGGAGCGCTTCGGGAGGGATCGTAGCGTGTGGGAGCGCTTAGGGCACTCTTAGGAACGCTTGGGTCCCAAATCGAAGTTGGCAAGGGGTGCCCGAAACGTGCCGATTTATTATCAACTATCCTTTTGTTGTGCCCAGGGGCTCTTCGGAGCCAAGCAGTGGGTCGAAGTTGAAGACCAGCTGATGGGCAATCTGCTGCGTATGATGGTGGGGTGTGTGTCGGGTGGATGTGCGCCGACGTGCATCTGCTGCGTACGGTGGTGAAGGTTGGCTCGGGTGGATGTACACGGGCTGGAACAGTTTACGTCGGATGATCCAGGTTAATTTAATTTCCATAGGATGGTGAGGGTTGGGCCAACTGGATGTGCACTGAATCTTCGTTGCATCACGCGGCAAACGGTTGTTTCTCGCAGCAATGCATCACGCGGCGTTGGGTGTGCGCCGAAAAATTGTTTCTCACAAAGGATAGTGGATATCGGGTCGTATGGATGGGAACATTTTTTAGCGTCTAATGGTGAGTGTTGGTCGGATGGACATGCGCAGAATATTTGTTCGCATCGGACTGTGAAGGTTGGGTCGCGTGGATGTGCGCGGCGCTGATTCGAGAACCGCACTTTGAAAAAGAGCCGGTCTCCCCGATGAAGCTGTTGCAAGCTTTAAGACGAGCGTGCGCGGCACTAGGGCGAGAGCCACACTTTGAACATTGCGTGAGCTCCATCTCAGAATCGGTTGCGTCGTTTGAGGACGAGTGCGCGCGGCGCCAAGGCTGGGGCCACATTTTGAAAAATACCCGGGCTCCATCCTTGACGCTGCTGCGCATTTCAAGCTTCAGGATCATAATTGGCGAGGAAGTTTCAAGCAAAACGCCCGCCCCGGCCTGCGGACACGTCCAGTGGTGCGACAGGGAAGGGTTCACTACCAGGAATAGGAATGGAGGAGGAGGAGGAGGAGGAGGAGGAGGAGGAGGAGGAGGAGGAGGAGGAGGAGGAGGAGGAGGAGGAGGAGGAGAGAGGAGGAGGAGGAAGGAGGAGGAGGAGGAGGAGGGAGGGAGGGAGGGAGGAGGGAGGGAGGGAGGGAGGAGGAGAGGAGGAGGAGGAGGAGGAGGAGGAGGAGGAGGAGGAGGAGGAGGAGGAGGAGGAGGAGGATGAGGAGGAGGGGGAGAAGGAGGAGGAGGGGGAGAAGGAGGAGTAGGGGGAGGAAAACTAGGAGGAGGAGGAGGAGGAGGAGGAGGAGGAGGAGGAGGGAGACCCGCGATGGTGTGGGTTCCGAGGAGGGCCTCGCCAGCAGGGCGCCCCAGGGCCTGGCCCAGAGCCGCCCAGTGCAGCCGGGGCAGAGCGCCTACGACGACGGCGCGGCCAGGTGCTGGGCGGTCTGCGCCGGGGCAGCGGGCGACTGGGTGCAGCAGGTGTCGGCGGTTCGAAGATCGGGCCCTGAGGGATGGGGCCCTGAGGATAGGGGAAGGCTTCCAGGTGGAGTCTGCGTCGTCTTGGTGCCTCCTCACCCTCTGGGGCCCCAAGTCTGCGGGCTCCACCTTCCGAGCGCCGAAGGCGGTGGAGGTGCGCCCAGAGCCGGGCGAGCCGACGGCGCTGGACAAGTGGGCGGAGGCGTGCCGCCGCGCCGGCGCCGTGGAGCTGTGGGGCGCGTCCCGCGAGCGCGGCGTCTACCGCCCCGCCGGCGGCGGCGTCCACTGCGGGGAGCCGCCCGCGTACCAGTGCGAGCAGCAGCCCGACCTGTGGCTCTATGTTGCGGACGACTGGCGCTGGTGCATCGGGCCGACCGCCTCGAAGGACTGCCGGAGGCCAGGCGTCGTGCTGAGGAGCCGCGGAGAGGCGGCGGCGGGAGTGCTGCCGGAGGAGGTGGCGGCGTGGTGCGAGCAGGGGGACATCGAAGAGCAAAACACGGCATAAACATAAACTGTTGGCGTTCCGCGCGGATTTCTCGGATCTGCGCTGGGACCCCCTGAGGGTCCAATGCAGATCCAAGAACTCCGCGCAGACCGTCAACTGTTTATGTTTATGCCGCTTCCTGTTCCTCTAGGACAGGGAGGCGTGGGAGCACGACCCGAACCTCTGCTTCTTCCGCACGGAGGTCGTGGCGGAGGCCTGGGGGCGGGCCCGGGAGGCGTGCGCCGAGTCCCCCGTGGTCACGCTCACCGGCGCGCCTGGCGGGCTTGAGGAGTACGGCGGCTTCTACGATTTCATGCCCGAGGCGACGGCCCACGACCAGGCAGGGCCCATATCGATCCGATCGATCCGACTCGATACCAACTTCGGCCAATTGGTGCGGCCGCATGCTTACGTGGCGCTGTTCTGCATCCTGGCTCAGCCGATCCGATTCGATTTCGATTCCGTGCCGGATCTAGCCCGATCCGGCTTACACTCCGAGTCGATCCGACTTCCTGATTCGGTGCTGGGGGATCGTGCCAGGCGCCCGCCTTCCAGCACCAGATAGCCCAGGAGCGGTGGCTGCACCTTGGCGTTGACGGCCGCTGTGACTTCTTCCCTCGACTCGACGCTTGTGTACAGTGCGCAGCGTGCTCCTGGCACAGCACACAAGGGGGCATCTGAGGCACACTGCGCACTTCGTGCACACCGGCGACGGGCCTGGGGAAAACGCAATCGTCCTCCTCCTCCCCCTCCTTCTCCTCCTCCTCCTCCTCCTCCTCCTTCTCCTCCGCCTCCTCCTCCTCCTCCTCCCTTCTCCCTCCTCCTCCT